CCCAGCATGCCGTGCGGCCCTCACAGGGAGCCATGTCCCAGCATGCCCTGAGGCGCAGCAGAGAGGTATGTCGCATCCCAGCATGCTCTGCGGCCCAGCAGAGAGGCATGTCCCATCCCAGCATGCTGTGTGGCCCCAACAGAAGAGAGGCATGTCCCAGCATGCCGTGCGGCCCAGCCAAGGCATGTCCCAGCCTGCCATGTGGCCTCACAGAGAGGCCTGTCCCATGGGGCTGCCAACGCTCCAGCATTGTTCTGGAGTCTCCAGGAATTAAAGATTAATCTTTAATGAAAGATTATGTCATGTGATGGAACCTCCAGGCAGACATCCAACCAAATTGGCAACCCTGATATCCCAGCATGCTGTGTGGCCCTGCAGAGAGGTATGTCCCAGCATGCCTTGATCCATCTTGAATTGAGCAGATGTTTCTGCCTGCTCCCTCATAAGCACATCAGGGTGAGCTCATGCAAGGCGTAGAGGAGCAATGCACTTACTGTGCCAAAAGAGAGAGTGCTTTGGGTGGACGGGATGTGTGAAGGCCCCTTTGTGGACAATTCCCGGCTGTTAGTAATGATAACTGAGTAATGATAATTGAGAGCTGAGGCTGGAGAGTTTGTCCTGTGAAGCCCTAATTCTCCAGTCCCTCGCTCCTCGGTTTCTAGGGTGGAATCACTTGACTAATTAGGCTGTCTCTGATAGTGTTGCTACCAGTCTGGGTTTTGGCTTCTGTGTCTGGCTGCCATTTAGGGGTGCCAGGTGCCTGTTTTTTGCCTGGAAAGCTAGTTGGAAAGGGGACCTGGCAGTGTCCGGTCAAATGTACTGACTGGACACCAAAAGTCTAGTTACCGCTGTGACAGTTTGCTCTCCCCCCCCCCCCCCCCCCCGAATGCCACTTGATGTGCTGGGATGCCAATGAGTCAGCCTATTCTGCCAGCCTGGGTCCCCTTTACCTGCTCGTGCTGCGCTAGGCTAGGCTCACAAGCCTCTTCCAGCCAAGTACACAGGCAGGGCCACGCCCGGCTGCACAGAGAGACAGAGATCCGCTCTGGAAAGATTCAGCCTTAGGAGCTTGCCCCAGCACTCTGGTGTCCACTCCCTTTAAGGGGTACAAACCCAAAGGTTTTATGAAATTCGCCCCCTCCTTCGTTGTGGAGGAAGATCTACACAACTTCTTGCCCTCCCAGTTAGAAATTACATAAAACTGGGTTATATTATAAACAAGAAATAAGTTTATTAACTACAAAAGGTGACTTTTTAGTGGCAAAGAGGTAGCAAACAGAACGAAGCAGATTACCAAGCAAATAAAACAAAGCATGCAAACTAAGCTTGATTCACTAACGAAATTGGTTACAAATAGTAATTCCTCACCTTAGATACTGTCTTAGGTAGAGTCCTTCACAGGCCAGATATCTTTCCAGCCTGGGTCAAGTAGGTCTTCCCCCCATCAGTTCCAGTCCTTTTGTTTCCAGGCGTTTTCAAGTATCTCTTTGGGCGGGAAGGCGGAGGAGAAAGGAACTGAAGACCTTGACTGTTTTCCTCCCCCATCTTATATAGGATTTCCATAAGGCGGGAATCCTTTGTTTGATTCCCCCACCTCCCAGTGGAAAAGTTCAGCAGTCCAGCCTCTGAGTAGGAGCAACCGAGACAGGTCACCGCTTGCAGGGAGCCGCCTGAGGTGAGCGCCGCCCGGATCTGACATCCCCTCCCGCGCCCCAACCCCTTGCCCCGAAACCCCTCCCATGCCCCAACCTCCTGCCGGTCCCGCACCAATTGGATTATAAACCAGAATTTCAATGAAGATCGGGAAAGGCAGGTTATAGAACTTTTCGGTTGGTGAAGTGCTGGATAAAACAGCTTTTACTGTGTAAGAAATGCTGATAAATAATCAGTTCCCTTCCCTTTGCCTTATCTGGGGGTTGAAATCATCCTTCGTCCTAATAAACTGTCTCTAGTTACTGTTTCTGTGGTGACTATTGATTTCCCAACTTCTCCCTGCCCTCTGCTGTTTTGATTACAGGGTTCGGTTGAGTGTTGAGGGCAATGGAGGCCACTTTGCCGGCAGTGGCAGAGGAGCTTTTGAAAGAGATAAAAAAGGCTTTCCAGGAGACCTCGCATGGTATGTGGAGAAAAGCACAGTCATACTGGGGTGTTTGTGGTGCAGTCATAGCCTGGATAAGATGCCGAAAAGCTTTGAGATCCCATGTGAAAAAAACCACTCCTGCCGCGTGGTGCCACAGTCTGTCTGTAAAGAGACATGTCTACCCATGGTGGTTTATAAATACCAATAACGTCATAGCTTTCTGGGGGTCAGGCATTCAGCGTAACCTTGCTCAGATCTTCTGAGGCCCTAAGGAATATGTGGCCTTCAAAGAACATAAAGGGGCTTGAGCTTCGGAAAATGCTGAGCTCTTGCCCTTTGAAAATGGGGCTCTTTTAAAGGGACCCAAATGGGATGCCCCAAAATTGGGGCACCCAAAATCCATAGTCACTTTTGAAAACGGAGGCTATCTCGTAGTTACTCGTAAGCATCTCATTTCAGCAGCATTGTACAGCCAGTATTGTGAAGCTTTTTCGTTCTATGCCTTCCAGACTTTACTGCATGTGGGTCGTCCATACTTCCAGTTTCACCTCTGCTAGGCCAACTTTCTGAGGCTCTAAGAGGTTGAAGTCCTTATTTATGGCTGCACAGTTAGCTTCAGTGTCAGTTACGTGTGGTGACAGTGCTGGAGATAGGACTCTTGCATGGGGATGCTAATTTGCATATCATTACCCAGAATTCATGTTCATGGCTATTGCTATAGTATTTCTGTGTGCTCACAGTCTTACTAACTTCAAAGCCAGTGACAAAACAACCTATACAGAAATGTTATAGTTGTCCCAGTTAACCAGCAGAGGGCGCTATACTACTGGTCATGATGGGCTTCTTGTTCAGAGGGCAGTAAGCAGCCCAAGCCAACAGTTAGGTCCTGGCCAATTAGAGCAGCTAGTATGAAACAATTGCTATTCGCTGCACGCTGCGTTACTGAGATATTTCTGTAGCCCACGTTGAAAGAGTCCTGTGGTGTGTGTTTAGATGGCAAATAGACCAAGTGGCGCCTGCAGAAATGGAGTGTCTATTTAAAGAATATGTTCTGCCTAAGCCAGAACCAAAGGAAACGGAAATACAGGGAAGTCCATTTGACCGTCCCTCGAAACAGCCCCAGTGACTGAACTGATTTTCCTGGAGCTCAGTGTATGTGCATTATGGGTATTGTCAGGTTAGTTTAGGTCCACAATCTAGGTTTGATTTTGTTCCATTTTATAAAGGATTTTGTACAAAGGTAATATGAAACCAACAAAAAAAAATCAAGAAGGGCTTTTTAATATAAATATCCCCTTGGAATGCTGGTAACATTGTACTGGGACCTGAGAACCAGAAAATGAAACCAACCAGTCTAGTTTCATTATCCAAATTGAGTAAGGTTAGAAAAGTCAGCTAACATCAGCCATGGAGAATACATTAGACTGTTAGAATATTTACAGTTGTAATGATCTAAAGTCCCAATCCCTCAGTGACATCCATGTGGGTAGACCCCCACACCCACCCTGAATCCCATTGGAGGTAACTAAAGGATCAGATTGCAGGATCGGGGCTAAACTGTTAAGTAAAACAGGTTGAGGATTTTTTTTAATGTAATTACTCACTTTAACAAGTGCCCCTGTTAAAAAGAGACATTTTTCTATGCTCAAAATCAAAAGCTACAAAACATTGGAGATGTCCGAGACTGTGCTGGGAAAGGAAAAGCACTGTTAAAAGACTAGAATTTATATGCCACAAATTTATCAAGTGACAGTTTGATTCCAAGGTAAAATTGCAAGGGAATCAGCCTGGTAATGTGAAGTGCAAGTTGTTAAAACCTTCAGGCCTTTCTTACAATTTTTAGATGTAGGATATTAGAAAAGTACATGTATTTGTGGCTCCATCTTACTCTTTAAAATTCATCACTGCAGCTCTGAATCATTTTTAAAAATGTCTGCACTTAATGTAGGTCCTACATATAAGAAGTCATATTGAACATGCACAGTTTTGTTTATATGTGTGATGTACATAAGGAGTGGCAATTGGTTGTTAGGTTGATTTAAAAAGAAATGTTTCAAGGGCATTGGGAGACTCTTGTGACTATATTAACTGGGGAGAGCCCAGCACACTGTGACTGGCTTCTGCTCAGGGGTGCATATCTGGGGTGAGATCTGATGCTGGAGAGGGGCCAGGACTGGAATAGTGGGGAATGTTGCAGATCAAGATTAAGGGACACCTGCAGAACTGTGTGTGAGGGACCCGGGACTGGAATAGCAAAGGATGCTTCTGCTGAAACGAAAAGACACCTCATTGTTTTCAAATCTGGTGCAGTCTTGCGCAGCAGCTAGAACCTAGGAACTTGGCTGTTGGCCCCTCCATCTCATGAGGATCTGTGGATGACTCGTCTGAAACCATTCCAGCCCAGCATCCCCTATTGCTGAGCCCAGGAGTCAGCAAAAATCAACACTGTTTTTTGCACCCCACAAACAGAGTTCCCCCCAATGCATTGTCCATGTGTTTTTAATCTGAGCAAACGGGCTACCTATTGTGATTTAAGAGGTAGGAGGGTCATTCTTCACTATCAGTGTCTGCTTGTGATTCTGACGCCATCACCACTGCCGTCATGTATTGTGAATTCTCTCCCCTAACAAACCACTGCACTGCTTCCTATGTCTCTCTGTGGTTAGGGAGGTTGGATTGATCACTGTAGGGGACAACCCTGCATGACCTATGGGGATGGACAAAGTGGAGCCCACGGGGCCTCTTTCTGTCTCTGATTTCAGAGGATCTTTTGCAAAATGTTTAGCAAAATGAAATGTCTTTGTCTTTTTGTTGCAGTTCCTGATGATCTCCTGCTGGCGTAAGTACTTTCTGCTCTGCTCCTCATCCCTTCCTAGAGGGCACTCTCAAGTACTTTATAGTTTGCTTTTTTCCCTCTGCTGCCTTATGTCTTTTTCTGTTTGACCAGCAGGCGTTTCTCATGAAATGTAGCTAAATTTTTAGCAGGTGGTGGAATTGAATGTACAAGCAGCCTATTTGGGGGGGTTCCCCGGGGCTCTTCGGGTTCCCCAGTGTCTCCCAGCCATAGTGTGAGCTCGTGTTGTAAAGCATTCTAAGCAAGGGTGGATTGGACATCCAGGGACCTGGGAGGTCTCTCCAGAGTCTTAAGGCCAGGTTCAGACCAGGGGTAAGGAGATATGACTTCAGTGAAACCAAAACTTTCTTTCCAAATCACCCTTCCAGAGCTTCACATCTCCTGAGGCCTTTTTGCTGTTGTGAGCACAGCAGCGTCTTCGGGTTGCCCTCTCTGTCCGAGCCAGAGGGACACGTGGTTGTAAAAGAGGGAAAGAGAAAGGAACCTATAAATGTATCCACGCAAAATAACTGGCACCTGGAAGGTCATGCTGAGAGTCCCATTACTGCCAAGATGCCTGTGGAAAAGGGAGGCCGGGACTGGCTTTCAATACCTGTGATCTGAGCCTGGGAATATGTCAGCCATAACCCAGCAATGCCCACAGCCAAGGGACTGAGGGGCACACAGGCCCCACCCCTCATTGATCCATGGCAGTGCTAGTACAGAAGCAGCATACGCAGGAGAACACACTTTTACGGTCACACTGTGATGCTGCATTCTGACCTGATTGTGGTTTCAGACAGGCAAGGGTTGACCGGAATCTTTCAGGCCTCATTGGCTTTGAAAATGAAGTTTCCAGTGTATCACTGGTAAGTGGAGTGGGGTGAAATGTTTTTGACAAATAGTAAATTTGGTGAAAATGCATTTTGGGTGGGGGGGCATCGAAACTGTTCGCAAGTTGGGATTGAATTTTGTGAATAGTCTCAGCTGAAAAACAATGGAGAAAATTTTAAAAAGTCGAAACGGTTTGTTTTGACTTTTCGTTTTGAAGGGGCACCTCGTTTGGAAATTTAGCTAATTAAAAAGGGGTGACAAATATTAAAAAATGACACACAATGAAAAACCAAAAAAAAAAAAAGAGGGTAAAATGAAAAATTTTGTTTAACCTAAATTTTTTTGGCATTTTTGTTTCGGCAAGAAAAAACAACAAAAATCAGTTTTGGCTTGAACTGAACCAAATTTTTGGGGGGCTTGATCCCCAATCTTAAAAATCAATTATTCGCTCAGCGTCTCACTGCTTTTCTGTAGGTTGAGAGAATCATTCGTTTTTACTCCAGGGCTCCCTGTCCTCCATGGGCCATAACTGGGCTTGGAAGAGTTAGATATTACTTGATAGATGTCAGAACTGTTGATTTCTTTCTCAATCTAAAAGTGAAGAGGAGGGAAAAGAATCTCATTGTAAACTGAGTAAAGTTATTTTAGTGGGAATTCCATTGATAACTTAATAACTGTTGATTATTAACTACTGTCCCCCGCCCCCGCTCAGTTGCCACCAATTCCCTCTGGCTCAGGAATATTCTAATTCTATTCCTGAATCTGTTCTGAATCTCGCCTCCTGCAGGCACTGCATTTCAACTTGGCCGCTGAGTTATTTCCTGCTAGTACAAAGATGTACATTGATAAAACTATATTTAGGGAAAAATCTCCAAAATTTCTGCAACAGCCATTGAAATTCATTCAAATCAACCCGTCCCAACCGTAAACCCAATCTAATCATTAAGGAATGTGTCATGCTGGGAATCCTTCCCAACCTCCCACTCTTTCCTTTGATGAAATCGCTCCCTGTTTGCTTTGAATTTCTGCCTCTCCTCCAAGAGTAGGTCTGGCTGTTCGGCATGTAATCAGTGACGTAGACTTGAGCCAGTTGTGCTGCTGAGAACGTAGAGCTCCGTCTCGGGTTCGTTGTGTCTTGACGGGGATCAAGCATATTCTTCCCAGAATAAGAGGCTTTTCTGCTTCCTTCTGTTCTTGTTTTTAACCATCTCTTCCTTCACACATCTCCTTGTTTATTGTTTACCTTTGTGACTGATCTAGACTGCAAGGGTTTTTCTCTGTGGATAAAGGGTCGATAAAGCTTATCTTTATTACCTCTAAACTCTTTGGAACGCAGTCAAACCAGCAGGATGTACAGATCCAAAATAACTTTTAAGCCTCTGAGCTGTTTGGACAATAGGTTAAGGGCTCAGGTATCCATAGCTGGCACACAGTTAATCATATAGCCCTACGTGATGTCTAACACATGCAGATAAAAGCCTTTCTGCAGGGGTGCTGAATGTAACCGCCTCAGAAGGAATACAGAAACTCTAGTCTCCCAGTGGAAGTCACGAGCGTCCGCCCTGCTGACAAATGTGCATCGTCGCAATGGAATAGCAGGAGGAATTCTCTAGTCATTTTCAACCCTTGGAATATGAGCAGGAAGCATCCGGATAGACTGTCACTGTGCATGGGCGTAGCCATATACAGGGGAGAGAGTGAAGTATTTCTCCCTGGCCTTCAGCTTTGTACTTTCCCAGCTTGCTTTGGGGCGAAGCAGAGCGCTGACTTACACCTCAGTTATGAGACTCAGCCTATGACACGACCATTGTAAACTAATCCGATCTCATGCTTCAGGGCATGAGCTAATTTCTCCTGGGGTCAGGAAGGCGTTCCCTTGCCCCATCTTCTGTCGCACAACAGACTCGTTCATTTCCTCCTTAATATGAGGCATCAAGTGTTGGTCACATCTGGAGGCAGGATTCCAGACTGACTGGACCAATGATCCCACCTGAGACAGGGACCCCTGTGCATGCTTAGGCTGCTCTGTGTGTCTAAGGGAGGAGGGATAGCTCAGTGGTTTGAGCATTGGCCTGCTAAATCCAGGGTTGTGAGTTCAATCCTTGAGGGGGCTACTTAGGGATCTGGGGCAAAATCAGTACTTGGTCCTGCTAGTGAAGGCAGGGGGCTGGACTTGATGACCTTTCAAGGTCCCTTCCAGTTCTAGGAGATGGGATATCTCCATTAATTTATTTTATTTATTTATTTATTATCAAGTTAAAAATCCCCCGTTAAAGCCAGACCCTTACCTGTGTGGCTGGTAATAGCTTGTGTCCACAGAGTTCAAAGACCAGGCCTGAAATCGATGCCCCTTTTTTCACTTTAGTTGGAGACAGTGACCATTTCACTCTCTGGGCCTCTTGCACTTGGCCAGAGCTGCTGGGTTGCAGGTCACAACACTGGAGAAGGGACGTGTCCTCCCCATATAGAACCTGTTATTTGTCAGCTTTAAAGAAGAAAAACTTCAAAAACAATTTATTTTAAATTAAATCTTATTGCGGGGGTTGAAAAATCTTGGGGCATTGTTTGTGATTGGGATGGAAAGCGGGGCAGTGTCTCTCTCATGTTCTTATCTTCCACCCTAGACATGAGAATATGAAAACCTTACGGATCCTCTCAGTGGGTGGGATCTGTCCCTCCAGAAACAGCCCCACATGCCAGCAGCAGTCTCCAGCAGCCAGGTTGTCTCCTGGAGTTGGGGCTGGGATTGGCAGTCCCGTGGGAGAACCTGAAGAAAGGAGAGAGAATGACCAATGTGCTTCGCTGCTCCTAATCAGGTTTTATTTGGGGGCGTTGAGCACGTCACACTAAGGCGGTGCTGGGATGTTTGCCAAACACCTTTAGAGATGCACTGGGGATCCCTGGCCACACGCATCGTGGGCTCTGCTTGGTTCAATGACCTTTAAGAAAGAAATCTTGCTCCCATCAGAGCCAATGACAAGACTCCAATTGATTTCAAGAGAAGCAGGAGTGAGCCCTACATTTGCAGCACAGCCTAACCCAGGGACCTTTTCTCTTCTAGGCTGAAATTTGTATTTGGCTCATCTGCTGTGGCGGCCTTGGATTTGGTTGATCAACACTCAGTCACGCGAATCGTGTCTCCTAGTGGAAGGGCCATGTACCAGGTACAGACCAGGCTTTCTCCCGGCTCACTTGCAAGTTCTCTAGTCTCTTTTGGTTGCTGTCTGCCCACGTGGCCCTGTGCCACGTTGAATAAGGAAATGCACTGACTGCTTCAGAACCTCCTTAGGTAGAGAGGGCTGTGACATGGAAACATACCGCATCTTAAACCGGGACAGGAGAGCCATAGTGCCAAGGGGTAATGTAACCCCCGCAGCATAGAACGGTGCATTACACCTCCCCGAGAAGCATCCAGCTACTCCCAGAGACAAGACCATTCGTCTGGCCTGAGCTAGCAGCTGCCTGTGCTCTATGGATACCGGTGTTAGGAGAATGTTTTCCGGGGATCACTGATTTCAGTTTAGTATTTTCATCATGTCCCTCTAAGTTCTGTATCACTTCTGTCCCTTGGGAACCTTCGGACAGGGCCTCATCTCTGCAGAATAAGCTTTGATCCCATTTTTACCCATCACAATGTGTCCCCTGAGTGTCCTGAACTCTGTGTCTAGCAGCGTGTGCTACCAACGGGGGGGTCACTCTCTGCCCAGCCGGGGGCCGTGGACTAGTGACTTCACTGCCAGCGGAGGGAATCTGCTGCATCTGGAAGCTGTTTAGGGAACTGGTGTGAATTGAATCAGGGGGCACAGTCCAGCTCACAGTGGTCAAGTCTCTGTATCCCAAAAACCACCATAATAATTGGCATCCTTGGCAGAGAAGCAAAGGTCTGAATGGGCCACAGCGATCCAAGTGCCCTTGCCCACAGAGCGGGGTCCTCCAGGGCCAGGATTGAGACCTGTTAGCAAAAGGGGCTGATGTGTGGAGGCTCCCCACGCTGTGCCTGTTGGGGGATAAACAGGACTGCCGTCCCCTTCAGTGCCAGTGCAATACCTTGCACCAGGCTCAATGCACCTCGGAAGAACGACAAACTCTGCCCTTGGTGTTGGAACAGCCCTGAGCGGCATCCCCAGCCATCTTCCCTACAGCTACAAACGGGCCGGGCTGAGATGTGCTGCCACCGCAGACCCTTCTGTTTAACTGGGGATAAGATCCAGTCGCTCCCTTTGCCCTGGATAAGGGTGATCGTTGTCACATGTTCAGGGGCTGTGGTGTTCAAGTCACGGGAGGAGCTTTCACTGTTCTTGGGGACTCCGGAGAGTGTGTGGGACCCACCTGTAAGACCCGATTCATAAACCCAGGTGCCTAAGAACACGGCCTCTGGGCTGAGTTGAGAGGTTGCGGTTGCTTGTTGGTGTTTCACAAGGACTAAGTGCTGCTTCCAGGGCCCTGAGGCAGCGGCTGTCTCTGGGCTCCAGTGATTCTTTGGGAAGACGCCTCCTTTATTAATTGGAGGCCTTGAGGCTTTTCCTTCCTTGTTGCTGCTCTTATTAAATACCCAGCCTGAAAAGCCCAGCCTGGGAGCTCCCAGGCTCTGTGCTGTGTGTTTTTTAGGGCTAAGATGGAGCATTGCATGCTGGGATGTGACGTCTTAACCAGCTGCACCTACATATTAAGGCTATGGGGAGCAGCAATTTGCGCCATTTTGTCCCAGCTCCCTGCAGCCTTTGAGCCCTTTGCTGGGCCCAGGTTTGGACTCCTCTAAGTGGCTGCAGGCAGCCTTTGAAGTGAACCCCCATTAAGCTGAGGCAGTGCAGTGGGGAGACCCCAGCTCCGCCTTCGTGCTTCTCTTTGTCCTTGCAGGCTCAGCTCACCTTGCAGCAGCTCCTCGCGGCCAGCGGGGCTGGACACTTCGCGTGCTGTAGCTCTCCGAGCCCCTGGGTTTCCATTCCTTAGAGGTAGCTGGACAGCGTAGTGAGTACGCGTGCTCTATATGTGTTGTTAATGCCTTGTGTGTGGCATGGCCAGCTGTCTGACTGCCGCCCTCCCGTCTCCTGTTAGCAATGGAGCGCTCTTCCTCCGCCTTGGCTGCCAGCGCTGCCACTGTGAGGAAAGGCTGCATTGGAGGAGATCCTTCTCCCGCCACCCGAGCAGCTCTGCTCCCTAGCTCAGCAACATGGGGCGTTTCTTTGTGCTATGGCCAGCGCTGAAGGCCCAGCCGAGAGCAGGGCCCCGCTGTGCCGGGCACTGCACAAGGCGTGTGAGCAAGTCCCTTCCCCAAAGAGCTCCCAGCCTTGATCGTCAGTGACCGGGTCCTACAAAGGGGCAGCTTCACCCTTCTGGATGCTTTGGGGTGTTTGCCTGGCAAGCCGCCTACCCAGCTAGTGCACATGCCCTCTCATGTGTTTGCCCCTCTGAGGGCCAGATCCTACTCCCATTGAGTGGAGTAAAACCCCACTGACTTCAGGGCAAAATGGACCAGGCTCTTTGCTATGTGATTGCCTTTGACAATCCCCAGTGGGACCAACCGATAGTTACAGTTTTCCTTTACGGATTATCATTCGCTAACGTAGCCCGATTAATGGATTTTCACTCACAAGAAGAGATTTCAGAGCTGCTCCCCTCCCCACTTCAGGAGGCAGAATCGGAGGCTGGTTCCTGTAGGGGAAAGGAGCAGCAAGTCTTGGCCAGTGAGCAGAGGGTTAGACAGACAAGCCAAGTGGCCAACCCACAGGCGCTGTTAAGTGAAAAGCCCCGCCCCTGCTCCACTCACCCTGCACCCAGCAGCGGTCTGGTCTTTCCAGCGGTATCAGAGAGGAGGACGGGAGTGGGATGGCAAAGTGGAGTGAGGACGTCTTCCCAGATGATAAATAGCCTGGGGGCCAGGCGTGCGTTTCTCAGCCGCTTTCCTTTTCTGGGGCGGGGGATTGCTGCTGCTGTATTGTCTTTGCTGTGGAGGCCTCTGGAGAGCTGTTCTCTTGGAGGGCTTGAAGCTCCATTGCAGCGCTCCTCCTTGCAGCTGTATCTGCTGTTCCGGAGGTGCTGAGGCAAGGGGCAGAGCCCCCCCAAGGACTGTGACTGGAGCCGAGACGGGAATGCGATCAGGGGCTTTGTCAAGGCCACGTCACTGAGGTGGCGAGCAGCATGCGGAGTAGCTCTGGATGGGTGCATTGTCTCACAGCTCATTACCCTCTTGTGGGCCGGATACATTGACGGCTCAGTGCTGATGTGACCAGCTGAGGAGAGCCGTGTCAGTGGGCCAGACTTCCTGTGTGCGCTTCCTCCCAGCAGAGGAGAGGGTCTGCTGGGAGCGAGGGGAAAGTCCTCAGCGGGGCTAGATAATGCATAGATCTACCTATCAGACAAACAAGTCTTGGACTTGCCCTCAGGAATGGTGCCCCTGCAGCCCAGGGCTCGGACGCGGATGGGAAGGGGTGTCAGTGCTAATGGACTGTACCAGCCCCCAGTGCTGCCTGTGGTCCATCATCCTGGGTACTGCTTCAGAAACAGCCTCCTCCCGGCAGGGCCGGCTCCAGGCACCAGCTGAGCATGCTGGTGCTTGGGGCGGCAGATTGTTGGAGGCGGCATTCCTCTCAATCCTAGGGCGGCACGGCCGCCTTTTTGTTTGTTTGTTTGTTTGTTCCGCTCCGGCTGCCCTGTAGGGGGCGGCGGCGCAGAGAACCAGAGCGCCCTGCAGGGCAGTCCACTTCCTTCCCTCCCCGCCGACCGGAGCAGAGCCCTCGCGGCAGGAGG